CATTAAGGTTGGTGCAGTGCCCAGCCAGGATATAACAGGGGGAAACCCAAGGAGGTGATATCCTGGCTGTGTGGGAAAGCTGGCTAAAGATCTGAGTCTGGAAACCTGTTCCATTGGTCTAGACAGACGTGTTTTTCAGCACTTTCTTGCACAGAGGGGACAATTTTCTAACTGTACAAGAAGGGCGGGAGCTGAGACTGGGTCCCTTTACACTCTGCTGAAAGAAGGAGGCTAGTGAGCCCACCCCAGTGGCCAAGACATGCACACTTCCCTGCATTTTCCTGTATGGGCAAGACAGCTCCACGATTGCAATGAGAGAGCCTGGAACAGAGGCTGGGCCTTTCAGGATTTGTTGTGTGATGGAGGCTGGTAGTCTACTCTGGAAACCTAGTGGGGTAGCTCCCTCCAGCAGCTCTCTGCATAGGTGATCCTTGACTGTAGTGAGAGGGGCCTGAACTGAAACCGGGCCTTCTCAGGATTTACTTTGGGATGGAGGCTGATGGGTCTGTCATGGAGGCTTAGACAGAGGAGTCATTCCCAGGTGGCAAGATATGGATAAGCCTCCTCTGGGTCCTTGTACCAGCAGTAATAAGCTGACTTCATAGTAGGAGAAGGAACTGGAACTAAGTTATAGAGTAATTCATGTCTGCTGCTAAGACCAGTATTACTGGGCAGATGAGCCTTTCTGCCTATGCAGTAGTGTGCTTGATTCTTCCTGTACTTTTTTTTTTCCATTTTAGAAGGTCTTATTTTCATTTTAGTTCTTTTAAATCAAAGATATATATCTTTGCACTTCTTTAGATACTGCCTTTGTTCTCTACTACAAACAATACTGAAATTATCTGGTAACTGCTTCTTTCCTTTTTCTTTATCATTTAATTTTAGTTACATATGTTCTTAATGCTACCTGGGAATTTAAATGTACCTGGGTTTATGTAATTGATAATTGGGCCTCAATTGTAACACTTTTTACCCAGCTAATATTTAAGAAGGTAGTAGACTCAGTTTCATCTTTCTCCTAATTTTTTGGTTTTTTGCATGTGTTATTTTTATATTCCATGAGCTTATGTCAATATATGCCATTTTGTCAGTTTTATCTCTGTTAAACACTGTATTATAGTTTTAGGTTCACAGCAAAATTGAGAATGCACAATTCTCATATATCTCCTGTCCCCACACATAAACAATGTCTCCCATTAACATCCCCCATCAGAATCATACATTTCTTAAAATTGACAAGCTTCCATTGATACATCATTATCTCCAAAAGTTCTTAGTTTACATTAGAGTTCACTTTTGGTGATGTACATTCTTTGGGTTTTGACAAATGGTATAATGACATATATCTATCATTATAATGTCATATGGAATTGTTTCACTGTTCTAAAACTCCTCTGTGCTCTGCCTGTTCATCCCTTTCTCCCATCTAACCCTGGCAACCACTGACTTTTTTTTTTTTTTTTTTTAAATCATTTCTATAGTTTTGTTATGGAGCAAAAGGGGCTCCTACCTGGTGCTCTAGAAGCCTATATTGTGACAACCAGGCTTTTGAGAAAAGAAAAGGTGTATATTAAAAGTCGATTCACAAGGAGACAGAAGTCAAGCTCAAATCTGTCTCTCTCTGCTGGCTTTAAGGCAGTATTTTATAAGAAAAGGTTTAGAGGGATAGATACTGGGATTAGCAAGTGATTGGTGTAAGGAAAGGGGAGGAATGAAAAGTCCTTAGGCATTTGCAGGTAGTATCTTCATGCTACTTCATGGGTCACATGTGCAAATTTGGTGAGTGCTAGTATGAGCCATGTTGTGGAAATTGAGACTGTGGCGTCAGCAAGCTCATTTTGTACAAATTAGTTGACCATCTTGGTTCCACCCAATTTCAGCCAGTATTTTTTCTGGCCTAAAAAGAGAGAGTTTCAGTGTTTTAGCAAGTTGTTTTTTTTATCTGCCATCCTGAAAATGCAATAATTTCTGTTAATCATTAGTTTCTTTAATTATTTAGAGAACGGTTTCAGTCTTGCCTTTTTCAGAATATTATTCGGTTAGACTCATCCATGTAGCCATTTCAGATTGGCTTCTTTCACTTAGTAATATGTATTTAAGGTTCTTCCATGTCTTTTCATACCTTGGTAGCTCATTTTCTTTTGGCACTGAATGATATTCCATTGTCTGGATTTACCACAGTTTATCCATTCACCTTCTGAAGGATATCTTGGTTGCTTCAAGTTTTGGAAATTATGGATAAATCTGCTGTAAACATCTATGTGCAGGTGTTTATGTGGACATAAGTTTTCAGCTTATTTAGGTAAATACCAAGGAGTGTGATTGCTGGACCATATGGTAAGAGATGATTTAGCTTTGTAAGAAATGACCAAACTGTCTTCCAAAGTGGCTGCACCATTTTGTGTTCCCATCGTCAGTGAATTAGAGTTCCTATTGCTCCACATTCTTGCTAGCATTTGGTGTTATCATTGTTATGGATTTTGGCCATTCTACTGGATATATAGTGATATCTCGTTGTTTTAATTTACAGTTCCCTAATGAGATGTGATATGGATTATCTTTTCATATACTTGTTTGTCATCTGTGTATCTTCTCTGGTGAAATGTCTCTTCTGGCCACTTGCCCATTTTTATATTGGGTTATTCTTTTCTTACTGTTTTAGTAAGTGAGTTGTAAGAGTTCTTTGTATATTTTGTAGGTTATCAGATATGTTGTTTGCAAATATTTTGTCCTTGTCTGTGGCTTTTCTTCTTGTTATCCTGATATCCCCATCTTTTAGGCTGTAGTTCTAAGATAGATGCATTTTCTTCTTAATCTTAATGCAATTCTTAATCTTAAAGCTTCTCCAGTTTTTCTTGGTTATCTGAAACTTATCCTCTGCTCCACTCAGGCAGGTGCATGGAAGAGATACCATCTAAGCTCTTACAGATTTTTAACTTTTTGTGGCTATCCACTTGAAGGACACTTTGGATATAAAATATTCAGTTCACAGTTTTTTTCCTTGAGTATCTTAAAAAATATTACTTCAAACTGGGCTCGGTGGCTCAGCCTGTAATCCCGCGCCTTGGGGAGGCTGAAGTGAGTGGATTGCCTGAGCCCGCGGGTTCGAGACCCGCCTGGGCAGTGAGACCTCATCTCTACAATAAATCAAAAATCAGCCGGGCGTGGTAGCGCATGCCTGTAATTCCGGCTACTAGGAAGGCTGAGGCGGAAGGATCGCCGGAGCCCAGCAGGTCGAGGCTGCAGTGGCCAGGAACGGCCACTGCACTCCAGTCTGGGTGACAGAGTGAGACTCCAACTCAAAAAAAACCAAAAACCAAAAAATAATACTTCATTTTTTTCTAGCATAAAATGTAGCTGTTGAAGTTTAATATTAATCTGATTTTCTCTCTCTTAAGTAACTTGGCCTTGTGTTTGACTTTCTTTTGTCATAACTTTGCATATGTGTTTTTGTTTCCCATGTTTAAATGAAAGATTTCCTTGAACTATTAGGAAGAAGTTCCTGTGAAGGAATAGGATAAGCCAGGGTAGATTTCTCTGTTTAATTTGAAGGACTTTCTCCTTTCTTGCTATTGGAATATCTGTGTAGCCACTCCTGTCTCTTAGAGGTAAGCGTGGTCAAGAAAAGGGTTTCACTTTTAGCACAGTATTTCTAAGATCTTTACAGGCTTAGCATTCAATCATAAGTGATCTGTTTTTCTCTTTATAGTAATTTCTGTGAGCTGTTTCTTTTGTAACCTTACTATTCCTTTCCCCCTTTTATATTGACTCCTTTTCTCTCCATACCTCCATTGTTTCTGCCTTGCAGTTTCTTGTTTTCTCCCTTAAAAGAGACCTTGTCCTTTTGGAGAGGGCTCTTTGCTAAATACTTTTGAGCTGCTTATCAGTTTAGAGCTTCATCGCTCTGTTTGCTGTCTACAGAACTGATTATGTAGACTTTTGTACTCACATGCAGCTTGAGGCCTATGAAAACTTCTTTCTTTTTCTCCATTTATTCTCAGATTTGTTCTCTAAGTTTTCTCTAAGGATAGAGTCCTCTGCTTGTTAGTGATTTTTGGGTTTGATCCTTTGTAGGGTGCCCCCATTGTCCATTTTCACATCCTGCTGCTTTTCCTCAGTTGCTGAGCATGAACTATGGACAGTTTAACCACATTCTCTTACAGTCTGAGATTTGTGGGGATTCCCTTTCACTTAGTTTAGTTGAAAATGTAGTCGTTGGGTTCTTCAGATGTCCTCTTTGGTATATTTGGTGTTCAGGCATTGTTTTTGGAGGATTAAAATGCTATGCTGCCACCACAGTTAAAACACTATTAACTCATTATTTTATTAGCATAATTGTGACTAATATATAAATATATTTAATCTACTTCAACATATAAAATTGTATATTTTTAACATCATAATAAATAAAATTTTAGACATCTATTTGTGACCTTTTGAGGATTTGTATGTAAATGTAGGATGTGATTTTACATATTCTTGATTTTAAAGCAAATATGCATCATTTACCTCTAATTACATTGTTAAATGGGTATAATCTCCTAATGGAAATTTTAGGTTAATTACAGAATGGTACATGAAGTTATCTGTATGTAAACAGCTTTGAAAGTATACATGCTACAAACTACTGAGCTTTTATTGAAATTAATATACATAATTGAGGAAATTATTTGCTTAATGGAAATAAGTATGTTCAGAGAAAAGTTAAAGGAAAAAAGAAGTCATTTCATTGTTTATTTTCATATGTAATATATTCATATTTAATCTTCAGATATTTTATGAAAGACTTGTGGACATTTAATATGTTAGATGGGATTATTTGTAATTTTAGACTCGCTTGATTGTCTTCCACATAGCAAGTACTGCATAAATGTTTTCAGTGTGAACATTGTAGGAAGAGACAATATTAATCTTTTACAATTTTATTAGTAAAGATTATAATCGACTGAATCTAACTTCAAACTATGGAGGTCCAAAATAAAATTATCAATTTCTCATAGGAACTGAAGTTAAAAGATGAAGAATGTGAGAGGCTTTCAAAAGTGCGAGATCAACTTGGACAGGAATTGGAAGAACTCACAGCTAGTCTATTTGAGGTTGGTCTATTTACATCTTGGCCAACAGCAACATCTTGATTTTTATATGTTGATAAAGTTGTTTTTTTTGAGGGAATCTTGAAGAAGATATGCTTTGCTTCATGCATATTTATAAGTCCTCTAAGCAAAAGATAAAACAAAATCTTTAAGCAATATACAGTCTACAAGTTAAAATGATGTGAAAAGAAAAAAATCCATTATGGGCTGCCAGTATCAGGTTGTTTAAAAATGTATAAATGGAAAGAAAGGAGGTAAACTTTAGCTTTGATTTTTATTTTACTAAATATTTACAGCCTACTTTGGATAAAAGATATATGACTAAAACTAAGAGGGCAAACCCTTTGAGGAAATTATCCAATATGGGGTGATTTGAGAAATGTTGGAAGATATAACTACTTGTTTGAAGGTGTACTCTTTATCTCCAGCCTGCCATGAGGACCAGAATTTCTACTCCACTAAAACAGTGTTTCTCAGTAGGGATGCCATTGACATTGTAGAACATTTAGCATTCTTGGTGTATTAGTCAGGATTGTCTGCAAATGCAGAACCAATACATAAGTAGAGAGAGAGATAGAATGACAGAGACTGAGAGACAGAGGAACGTATTATAGAAGGTTGACTAATGTGATTTTGGAGGCCAGCAAGTTCCAGGAGCTGCAGGGTAAGTTGGCAACCTGGAGACTCAGGAGAGCTGATGGTGTACTTCCAATCCAACTTTGAAGGTCTCAGAACCAGAAGTGCTGATATTTCAGTTTGAGGTTGAAGGCAGAAAGAATTCTCTTCCTAGGGGGAGAATCGGTTTTTTGTTTTATTCAGGCCTTCAACTGATTGGATGAGGCTCACTCATATTATGGAAGACTGTCTACTTTACTCAATCTACCATTTAAATGTTAATCTTATCCAAAAACACCCAGGATAATATTTGACGAAGTATTTGGATATCCTATGTTTCAGACAAGTTGACACACAGAATTAACCTTCATACTAGGCTTTGCCCAAAAAGTGCTAATAACACTCCCTGATCATTTTGACAATTTTATCTCTGGGGGGTGAGGAGAGGATAATACTTCAGTGGTCGAGAATCATTGCTGTAATGGTTCTTTGGGTTAGACGTTCCTTATCAGAAATATCACTTAGAAATATTTTCTTTTTTTTCTTAAATATTTGTTCTTTTAAAAAAATTTTATTTTAAAGATGTAGAGCACAATTCAGGGCTAGGTATACAAATGGTCATTGAACAGGTAAAGTTTGGACCTTACTTTAGTCCCCACCTCACCTGGCTTGATGTCAGGTACCCTTATTGTGAAGTGTGCCTCCCACCTCTCCTGGCAGTTTCCCACTACTGTCAGTCCCTTTCTTGTAGTATTATGAAAATTGTTAAGGGTCCACTTATGAATGAGAACACGTGGTACTCAGTTCTTTGTTTCTGTGATAGATCACTGCATATTACAGACTCTAAATCCATCCAAGTTGCTGCGAGGTTCATAATTTTGTCCTTCTTTATGACTGTGTAGTATTCCATCATGTATATGTATCACATTTTTTTAATCCAGTCTACTTTTGATGGGCAGCATGCTTGGTTCTATGTTTTTGCTATTGTGAATAGTGCTGCAATAAGCATGAGTGTACAGGTGTCATTTTTATAAAATGATTTGAGTTCCTTTGGGTATATTCCCAGAAAGGGGATTATTGGGAGGCATGGAAGGCTGATTTTTAGATCTTTTAGGAATCACCACACTGTTTTCGCAAAGTTTGTACTAGTTTACACTCCTACCAACAGTGTAAAAGTATTCCCTTTTCCCTGCATCCTCTCCAGCATCTGTTGTTTTTTGAGTAAATATTTGTTCTTAAAACTTCTATTATAATTTAGAAATGGGAAAAATTCCATTACCTTTTGTTATTTTTATTCATGTGACATCTATTTCATTTTTGGAGGTATGTATATTTTCTTACACAGTTGTAATTCTAATATTTGTATTTTTTCAAATAACAGTTTTAGTATTACCACACGTCACTAATTGTAATGAGAGTCATAATCTGTGAGGTACATGTTCCACAATTTTTATCACTACAAATAGCACTGCAACGAATGTCTTTAGACATATAAAGTTTTTTGTGCTCTTTCTGTTCCATATCCTTTTGCCTTCTTTTCTGTCTTTTTTGGATCATTCTTTAATGAACATTTTAAACTAATTTACTTATTTCTTTAGTTAGTTATCAGAGATGAAAGGAAAATAAATTTAAGGATGGGAAGAGTGAGAAGTTAAAGATCTAGACTAGGAGTTATGTGACTTGTTACATTTTTATATGTAGAAGGACATACAGAAACATAAGGTTTTTCTTCCAGTATTGTCTGGCTGGTGGAAAATTTTGTAATGTTATATGGATATTAGGTAAGAAAGCAAATGTATTAAGCTATTTATGTTAATTTTTATTTTCTGACTGTTTGCATTTAATTTTAGCCCTGCTTAGTTTCACCCATCTGCACATGTATGTATGTTCTGTTAGATGAAATAGAAAGAGAACAGACAGAAAGAAACTTCTTCTCTACCATAGCAGGATATGAAGGACCAGAAGTGTAGGTTGTGTGATTAGTGAAAAAATATATCTAAAAAAATACAGTTTTGGGGTCTATAACTTATTTCTAACCCAATAGTGGCTAATATCCTTGACACTGTGACTGGTTTCTGGGAAAGTACATTGATTTAAGATGATTTCAGTAATGAAAAAAGTGGTATTTGAACCAATTATTTATGAATTGTAGAAAAAGTGCTAAAACCTTTTCTGTGATCCTAATTGTACCTTCATGGTCTTTTTTTTACCATTGTCTTATGAAAATATATTTTCTTGCATTTTATGTGTTTGTGTATGTGTGCATTTTTTTTGAGACTTAAAGGTTATTGTGAAAAAACAATTTGCACAGTTTTGGTAAACCTAACATGTAAATTCAAATTAGGAGTTTATTATAATGTGTGATGAATAATCTTAATTATATACTTCGTATGTAACAAAATTGAGTTTTAAAAGTATGAAATACAAAAACCTCAAAGTTATATATACCTCCAGTTTTGAGATAATATAAAATTAAGTCAATTGAGAGAATGCTTTACAAAGTAGGCTACATCTAACATGGAGGGAAAACAGGGAGTCTTAAGATTTTTTAATGTTTTATAAGACAGTTTTAGTAAATGTCTATGATATGCCTAGTTTTTCCCAACACTATGAGTTATATGTGGCAGATTATTATCATTTAATCTGGAAAGAGAAGGCTTATGAGCAATGCTGGTACACAAATTCACGATCCTAACTCTTGTTTTACATACTCTGAAAATAATAAATAGCTTTTCTGTTTGCCTCAAGCCACACACACACGCACACACACACAAAATAATAATAATAATTGAGACCTCTCCTTCCTTCATCTCACACTCAAATTATCAGTAAGGTCTTAGGCTGCTACTTCTGGAACATAAAGCAAGTTATCTTCCTAAACCAATAGATACCAAACTTTTTGATCCTATGCCTGGCCAGTAAAAGAAAAATTTGAGCATATATGTCCATTATGATGAATACACCTAATATTTATTAAGAATTTCCTATGTGCTAGGTTCTGTTCTATATGAGCATTTACACATATTTGTCAATTATTTACATTTACTAGCATATATACTAATGAATTACATACATTATAAACACCAAAGTTTTAAAAGGTGAGACAGTACTAAAAATGCTTAAAATTTTTAATAAAAGTGCAAAAATATTTTATTCTCATTAAAACATCAGCTTTGCATATATATTTCATATATACTTAGTGAATAGAGTGTGATTGAATGGTTACTTTGTTTATGAACATCTTGTTTTAACAGTTTATAATTTAGGTGAAGGTCTTGTCTAAGTTCCATTTTCAAAATGAGATACAGTGCTGCTGATAATTCACAGATACATTGATCCAAATATAAGAAGTACATCTTTCCCTGTACAAAAAAAAATACTAAATTTTCAGTTCCACTGCCAGTTATATGAAGGTTTTTTTTTCCAGAAAATCCTCTAGCAAATTTCTGTCTTCCATAATAGTAAGAAATTATTTTTGCTAATCAGAAGATGTTGCATTTAAACATTATTTTGAAAAGGAGAAAAAACACCTCTTTTATTTGACTCACTACTAACCAGTAGGAAACAATTTGTCTTCAAAGTTTGTAAGCACATACTCAAAAATGTATAGATTAGAGGTCTGCAGACTACAGCCTGCAGGAGAAACCAGCTTATGTTTACTTTTGTACAGCCTGTGAACTAATAGTGGTTTTTACATTTTTAAGTGGGGAAAACAAAAGAAGACTATTTTGTGACATATGGCAAATGTAGTAAGAATAACTATAACCACAGAAATTTGAAGTAAAATCTGATATTAAATAAAGTGTGTGTGCGCGAGAAAAGCAAAGTATAGAGTATCTGCGTGTGACTGAAATTAAGTTGCTATTAGCTTCAAAGATTGCTATAACTATAAAATGTTTAATATGAACCCCTTACTAACCATAAAAAATGATATTCTAGCTATTCAAAAGACAAAGAGAAAAGAAAGTACCCTGCCACAAAAAAGAGGCCACAATGAAAGACAAGAGAGGAATAAGAAAACTACAAAACTGACAGAAAGAAATTAATAGCATGGCAAGAGTAATCTTTACCTTTCAGTAATTACTTTAAATGTAAATGAACTAAACTCCTCAACCAGAAGCTATAGAAAGACTGCATGGATTTTTTAAAAAAGTAAACTGGTTGGGCCCAAGTAACTCACACCGGTAATACCAGTGCTTTGGGAGGTCAAGTTGGGAGTATTGCTTGAGCATAGAAGTTTGAGACCAGCCAGCGTACTATAACAAGACAATGTCTCTTAAAAAATTTTTTAAATTAGCCAGACATGGTGGCATATGACTGTAGTCTTAGCTACTTGTGAGACTGGGGCAGGAGGATTACTTGAGCCCAGGAGCTCCAGGCTACATTTAGCTATGATCATACCACTGCAATCCAGCCTGGATGCTGGAGCATGACCCTGTCTCTAAAACCAAACCAAACCAAACCAGACCAGACCAGACCATCAACTATATGTTGTCTAGGAGAGACTCATTTTGAATGTAAGGATACATATAGTAAAAAAAGGGGTGGAGAAATATTTCCATCCAAACGGTAACCAAAAGAGAGTAGGGGACAGGGGTGCCTGTGTTTATATCAGACAAAGTAGACTGTCAGTCAAAACTGTCACAAGAGACAAAGAAGGTCATTATACAATGACAAAAAGGTCAATTCAACAGGAAGATAAAACAATTATACATAGTCTTGCTTCATTCAACATGGGGGATATATTCTGAGAAACATGTTGTTAGGTGCTTTCATCCTTATGCAGTTTTGTCATCATGCAAACCCTATCTCTAACCCTAACCCAAACCTGGTAGATATAGCCTATAGCTCCTATGCTACAAACCTGTACAGCATGCTACTGTACTGAATACTGTAAGCAGTTGTAGCACAGTTGTAAATGTTTGTATATCTAAAGATAGGAAAGATACAGTAAAAAACTATTATAATTTTTTTGGTACCATTTTCATATATGCAGTCCATCGTTGACTGAAATGTTATGTGTCACATTGCTGCATATATGCACCTAACATCAAGGCACCCAAATATATGAAGCAAACATGGGAGAAATAGCAATATGAGGGGCGACCCCAAAAAACCCAGAATTTATTTATAACAAATTGTGTATTCTTACATGTTTAAACTTGTCACCTTCAACGTATTCTCCATTTGATGCAGTATGCCTGTCAATGCTTTTTCCACTTCTCAGAACAGTTTTTGAAATCATCCATTTTGATGTCTTTTAAAAGTGCTTCTGTTGTTTTTTGTTTCACCTCTTCCACATCGGCAAAACGTTTTTCCTTTTTAGGACTTTTTTTCATCCGAGGAAACAAACAAAAGTCCTTTGGCATGAGATTGGGTGAATAAGGAGGGTGGAACATGGGGTCATGTCATTTTTGGTCAAAAACTGCTGAATACTCAGTTCAATTTGGGCAGGTGTGCTTATAAGTAACCCATCATGGAATGGGCAAATGCATGGAAAGAATCGCCACAAAAATTCGCTGAAGCAAATGCAGCCTCTCACAACAATGCTAGCTGGTACACTGATGCCAGTGATTTCCTAGAAAGCTTAACTGGTCAGGGAAGCCTGTACTACAAGGGCCTCCCTCACTTCAAAAAGTATTCTTTTTAATTCTCTTTTTTTGTGGAGTCCTCGTACAATAATGGGGAATTTCAATACCCTACTATTTCTCATGGATAGATCATTCAGATGGAAAATCAAAGAGAAACAGTAAAACCGAATAACACTTTGGATCAAATGGCCCTATAGATATATATAGAACTTTCAACACAGCAGAAAAAGAATACACATTCTTCTCACATGTATATAAAACTTTCTCCAGGATGGTTTATGTTAGGTCACAAAACAGGTCTTAAATTTAAGAATATTAAAATCATTCTAGGAATCTTTTCTGCCCACAATGGAATCAAATTAGAAATTAATAACAGTAAGAAAACAGAAAAATTCACAACCCTTGGTTCAAAGAAGAAATCAAAAGGTAATTTCAAAATTGTCTTGAGACAAACAAAAATGAAAACATACCATACCAAAACTTATGCAGCAAAAAGCAGTAGTAAGAGGGAGTTATGTGAGGTGATGGACGTTTTGAAAGAACACAAAGAAAAGCATAGGAAATGTATATTTCAATGTTTGACAGTTTTTGTTGTAACAGCCACACTCATTTGGTTGTGTATTGTCTGACTGCTTTCACAGCAGAGTTGAGTGTATGGCCCCCAAATCCAAAAATACTGTTGGACCCTTTATAGAAAAAGTTTAAAGCTGGCCGGGCTCGGTGGTTCAGCCTGTAATCCCAGCATTTTAGGAGGCTGAGGCAAGTGAATCGCCTGAGCTCACGGGTTTGAAACCAGCCCAGGCAACTTGACGAGACCTTGTCTCTACAATAAATCAGAAATTAGCCGGGCGTGGTAGCGCGCACCATCTGTAATTCCGGCTACTTGGAAGGCTGAGGTGGAAGGATCACCAGAGCCCAGCAGATTAAAGCTGGGGTGGCCGTGAGTGTGCCACTGCACTTCAGCCTGGGTGGCAGAGTAAGACTCCAACTCAAAAAAAAAAAAAAAGAGTTTGCTGACTTCTGTAGATGTTACTTCGTTTTCAGCTTCAGAAAAATTTGAGTGATAGAAAAATTTTCAAACTTTTTTTGAATCTGCCTTTTGGTGTCTTTTGTCAACTTGTACAAATCCTCTGTGTTATCTTTTAAGTAACTGCTTCTGCCCCAGTCTAGCACCCTTTTTTTTTTTTTTTTTTTTTTTTTTTGAGATTATCAGTGACTCACATGTTATACCTTTTCACCATATTCTTTATATCTGTAGGGGGAAAAGTCGCCTAAAATCTTACCTCACTTTTCTGGGTTTACTTCTCCTGGATCTTGGTTTCTAATTGTTCACTATTATGTTACCTCTCTAATGCCTTCAAACGCATTGAAAATAAGAAAAACAAAAACTTGTCTGGCTGTCTAATTATTCTTCATTGGTGGTTTGATCCTAATTGCACAGTACACTGTTGATGAAAGCAGAGTCCATTTCCAAATATTTAGACAAATATTCTCTCCATAGTTTGAGTTGCTTTTGCATTTATAGTTAAAATGTTGCTTATCTTGAAAGGTCAGATTAGATATATTTATTATTTTTAAAATAGCTGCCAAATAGTCTTCTACTGACAGCCACTTATCATCCCAGAAAAATTCAACAAATCTGAAACATTTTGTTGTTTTTAAAAGGAAAGTATATAATTCATCATTAAATTTGATGGCCCTTAAGGCCTTTGCCAAGCTAACCAGCATACTGGTGCGTGGAATATTTTCATGGTTAATCTCATTTGATTACAAATCATTAATAGTAAAGATTCTTTTATTTAAGTGAATGTAAGCTATAAATTCACATTTATGGGCACACACAAACTGCAGTTCATTACAATACTGTAAGGGCAAGTGAACAAATGGAAAACAATCTGTCAAATTCTGACATAGAGAATTTCCATTCTTCCATTCTACCACTGAACAGTTGACAGATCTAGTGAGGGTGCCATTGTCAATTTGTTTATTAAATATCTTTTTTTTTTTGAGTTGGAGTCTCGCTGTTGCCCAGACTGGCCTGCAGTGGCCGCTCCCGGCCACCGCAGCCTCAACCTGATGGGCTCCGGCGATCCTTCCGCCTCAGCCTTCCGAGTAGCTGGAATTACAGGCATGCGCTACCATGCCCAGTTGATTTTTTGATTTATTGTAGAGATGAGGTCTCGCTGCCCAGGCGGGTCTCGAACCCGCGGGCTCAGGCAATCCACTCACCTCAGCCTCCCAAAGGCACGGGATTACAGACTGAGCCACTGAGCCCGGCTCTATGAAATATCTTTGAAGTTCATTCCCTCCCTCTGTCCTTCCCTCCAGAGAAGCTGTAAATTGAAGTTGTAAAGTATAAATTCTTAAATCCCAGGGGATTATCTCAAGCACTCTATACACTATTCCAGTCAATTCTTAATCCCTTACAGGGATTATTCTGTATAGCAGCATAATCTTTTTAAAATACAAGTAAGATCGTGTCATTTTCTTGCTTAAAAAAACTGTAAGACTTCATATTTCACTTAGAGTAAATTACACAATTCTTACCCTGATATTTTATTTGAATATTAGAATATAATCAGAATGTAAGCTCATTAAGAGCAGGGACCTTGTTCTTTCCTATATGTAATCAGCATCTGGAACAGTACCTCACAAAGATGACATGAGGAAATGTTTGATAAATAGTATATGAATAAAAGGTAATTAAATATCTAATGTTTCATATTTGTGGTACACAAAGTTAAGACCCTATTAAAAGATAAACTGATTTGCTTTTTTAGGTTGCTTTGCACAAAATTGTCATTTAATAGCATTTTGTGAAAAAATAATTTTTTTTTTTTTTTTTTGAGATAGAGTTTTACTGTCACCCAACCTGGATTGCAGTGGCACGATAGTGGTTAACTGCAGCCTTCAACTTCCTGAACTCAGGTGATCCTCCTGCCTCAGCTTCCCAAGTAGCTGGGATTACAGGCATGCAGCCATTACGCCTGGCTAATTTTGTTATTTTTTGTAGAGATGGTGGTCTCAAACTCCTGAGTTTAAGCGATCCTCACCTCGACCTCCCAAAGTGCAAGGATTACAGGCCTGGGCCACCATGCCTGGCCTGATTTTGTGAATGTTTTTTATTGGATGCTCTAGGGCTTCTTAGCTGTCATTACTATAAACTGCAACATTATTGATATGTTAATGTCTTTAGTTTTCCCTCCTGTGTGTCTTTGTTATGATTAATAATAGTGAATATATATAGCTACCAAATTACAGAAACCTGACTGCAAAGGAATTGGCTTTGACATGTGGGTCATTGTCTGTTTTCCATCATCACATTCACAATCCTTACAAAACGTTAATCAGAATGGTTGAACTCAATTTGACTTCCTCAGTAGTAATAGTAATAGGTACTGAAAAGAGGTAACTATTCCTAATGTCTAATAGTTTATCTGTTGCCAACTGCTGCTTTCATAGTTTACATTGAGTACTTATTTTCATACTAACTTTTGGAAGTATATCTTTGCTTCAATCATAGACACTTGGCTAATTTTTTTTTTAAAACAAATGATAAATAGCATTATTTCCAAAATTTGAGATGTTAACTTTTTCAGGAAGCTCATAAAATGGTGAGAGAAGCAAATGTCAAGCAGGCAACAGCAGAAAAACAGCTAAAAGAAGCACAAGGAAAAGTAAGTTATTGCTGCTTGCTTAGTATAGTATAAAATTTAAAGGAATTCATAATTACTGTTTTAAAAATACCTCAACTTGTATTGGATTTTGTTCTGATTTTAAAAGTAGTATTTATTTTAGGTTTGGAAACTACAGAAAAATAAGAAAATAGGGTCTACATAGATATAATTAATAGTGAACATTTGGTAGCCATTTATATTAGAACAAATGATATAAAGCCTTGTAAATTACATGAGTTATCAAAAGGATTTTTTTTTTTTTGAGTTGGAGTCAGTGCAGTGGCCACTCCTAGCCACCGCAGCCTCGACCTGCTCGGCTCCGGCGATCCTTCCACCTCAGCCTTCCAAGTAGCCGGAACTACAGGCATGTGCTACCATGCCCGGCTGATTTTTTTGATTTATTGTAGAGATGAGGTCTTGTTGCCCACGTGGGTCTCGAACCCGCGGGCTCAGGCAATCCACTCACCTCAGCCTCCCAAAGGCGCGGGATTACAGGCTGAGCCACTAAGCCCGGCTATCAAAAGGATTTTTAAATCACATTTTAAAGTTAATTTTTAAAAGTTTGCTGAGGAAAACCACCTAAATGTTATTAGATGTTGCTATTTTAAACTTATTTTTTATCTTTGACCAAGTTGCTAACATTTAGCTGCATCTGTCATAAACATATTTAGTGTATACAGCTACTTTGGTTTCTTTTCAAGATTGATGTACTTCAGGCTGAAGTAGCGGCACTGAAAACACTTGTATTGTCCAGTTCTCCAACATCACCTACGCAAGAGCCTCTGCCAGGTGGAAAGACACCTTTTAAAAAGGGGCATTCAAGAAATAAAAGTACAAGCAGTGCTATGAGTGGCAGTCATCAGGACCTCAGTGTGATACAGCCAATTGTAAAAGACTGCAAAGAGGTAACTCGTCAAGGACTGTCCCCTCTGACTCTGTTGATACTTGTTAATTCTCATCACTGAGATGTCAGTTATCATTTTTGTCAGCAAAATTTTTAGAACAAAATATGCAGTATTAAGATGGGGGAGGCTTTATCTAGAGCTGGCTGCTTTCAGGGATTCTTCAATTCCATTCTCTACTTGGCTGACCTTGGAATATCTGCAGGAAATTTGGTAAGTTTCTTAATCTCAATATTTCATTAAGGAAGCAAACTGTCATGTGTTGTATGAAGGAGAGTGTGTAACTTTAATGATCTGGCTAGTCAAAAATTACTGCTAGAGTGCTCATACAAAATATGAATAGAATAAATGTGTGACGATAAGGTGGCTTTCTTCAAGATTGGTCCGTTGCTTTTATTTAAATTCTGGGCAAAGTAGAATTTTATATTAGTAAGGGAGTCTTAGAGTTAATTCAGATAGAAATAGAAATATTGGTAACCTTACAACTATTATGTATCCATAAAAAATAATTAAAAATAAAAAAATTTAAAAAAGAAATAGTGATAACCTTATTTTAAAAAGTATGTTATAAAGAAACTGAGATATAAATATTTTGAGCTGTTTAGAGTAAAAATTGTATAATTATAAAACAATTTTTAATTTAATCATTGCACATTATGAGAATACATTTCCAAGGGGATTGATCAATAATTCATGAAGTGCTGCTCTCCCATTTTTTCTTTCTTTTCTTTTCTTTTCTTTTTTTTTGTATTTTTGGTTTTTTTGAGTCAAGGTCTCACTTGTTGCTCAGGTTAGAGTACAGTGGCACAATTATGGCTCACTGCAGCCTTGAACTCCTCGGCTCAGGTGATCCTTCTACCTCAGCTTCTTGAGTACCTGGGACTACAGGTATGCACCATTACGCCTGGCTAATTTTTTGAATTTTTGTATAGATGAGGACTTGCTGTGTTGCTTAGACTGCCTGAAACTCCCATGCTCAAGCAATCCTCCTGTGTTAGCCTCCCAAGTGCTGGGATTATAGACATGAGCCACCATGCTCAGCCTCCTTTTTTTTTTTTCTTAAAAGCTGTATTTTACATTGGTGAATTCAAGTTCATCATTAATCTTGCAGAAGCTGTGTGTGCTTGTTTCATTAAATTTTTGTATGGAAGAAACGAGTTTATTTAATGGAATAACCAAGGTTGTTGCCTATTTTAATTGAATTGCATTCTGATTAGTTATTAATAAAAAAGATGCTAGTGAGTGAGAAGTTCAATACTTGGTCAAATCTGAATGTAACAGAATCTAAAATTCACATTGGTTTCTGTTAAATATTTAAGAAACTTTTTTTAGTTATAACTTTAATTTTTTGAATTTAAATAGCGTTTTTAATTACTTTGTACAACTTGTATTTTTGCTGCTGTTTCTCACTCAGTATGTGTAATTATGTACTCCCCCATTTACACTAACAAAATTTAAATGTCTTCTTGTGGAATATTTTAAAGGTTCATTTTTAGTTTTTGAAACCCCTTAAAATATGGCAACATATAACTTCAAAATAATAACCTTTTACTTTCCAGGTTTACCTTATATTCTGATGTTTCGTGAAAAACTTGTCATAAAGTCTTATTAGACAAAGGAAACATAAATTTGATCTGTGTAAGTCTTAGAAAAAGTTATAACAGTATTAAAAAAATAAAAGATGTTCATGTTTCTGTAGAAAACTTGATGGGACACTCAATCATGACATTAGCAGCATGTCTTCTGTAAGCATTTAAAACACTTGTGTGCATGCACACACATGCATGATACAAGAGCTTCGATCAAGTCAGTTAGATCTTAATTTTAACTATGGCTTCTTGCTGTTTAACCTTGGGCAAGTTACAGATGGGACTTATAATATCTATCTTGCACAGTTGTTTATACAGTGCTTACTATATAGTTCTGGCAGAGTCAGCTCTTAATAAGTGGTTTAAATAACTGCCTTTAAACTAGAATCTTCCTGTAGAATACTACTTACTTGCTTTGGGGTTTATGTCCATTTTCTCAGTAAATTTTACAAAGAAAATGAATTTGAAAATGTAAGTAATGCTTATCTGCTAACATTCTTTATCCTTTTGCCTTTAGCTTTAATTCAAAGAATTTATGAATTGGGATGAAAAAGTTCACATGACATTGTTATTATACACCTTAAAAGAAAGCCTATAGGAAAGTTTGGATGTACTCAGTCTTCTGTTACTTTCATGTGGACTACCTGCACACCTGATTAAACTATCCTAGAGACAGGATGCAGCTGTAGTCAGTATCTTCTGTAGTGTATTTAGTGCTCCTGGACAAGAGTGGCTTAGAGCTGTAGGAGGATGAGGGAGACTGCTCTGAGTTTGGGTGGTTGGTGTTGGTGCCGCTTTGCATTTCAGCAGATGGTCTTGAGCAAGGCTAAGGGAATTGGAGAATCTGTAGGAAAGAATACTGGGAGAAATTTTATTAGGGAGGAGGGAGAGAGGGACAATTGAAGGAGTGAATAGGGAGATGGGTGCCAGCAGTGTATTATTGATATTTCAGGTCAATAATAATCTGGATGCCAAAAACATGCCAAAAATACTTTAAAAAATGTTATATTTTAAGATAGTCAATTTAGGAGGCTTTATCTGTGCTTTTTAAAATCTTGCTTATACAATAAGCATTTTGACAATTCTTTTGGGAATTCCTTCAAGTAATAGAAGAGCAATTAGTTTTTTTACTCCAAACTAAGCTTCACAATTTAATCTCAGTTTATGCAAACATTTATTTAATTAACTTTGACTCCAAATTACTTTTTGATTATTTTCAGAAAAAATGTCTCATCATTTTTTATATTCAGTACAGTGTACACCTGTGTCTTAAGAGGAGTGCCAGTATTTTGGAGGGATGGCAGGAAGGGGGCACAGGGTGAGAGAAAGGGCTGTATCATTGGACATGATAGTGGACATGTGGAAAAGGGTCAGTTAGTCATTTGGGGGTCATTATTTAAAAAGAAAAATTGCTACTGGGTATTATAACTAATCAAGAATTGTTCATTTTCTATTTTAAATGAACATTTTAAAAAATTAGTTTTGGTTTATAAAGTGGTTTTATGTTTGTACTTAAAAAAATTTTTTTTGATATTTTCTTTTGGTTTGTTTGTTAGGCTGATTTATCCCTGTATAATGAATTCAGATTGTGGAAGGATGAGCCCACAATGGACAGAACATGCCCTTTCTTAGACAAAATCTACCAGGAAGATATCTTTCCATGCTTAACATTCTCAAAAAGTGAGGTAATTATTTTTCACTTTAATAGGAATACAGTAGAGTTGTTTCTGTCCTTTTTACTAAATCATGCGTCATATTTTGATATCTCTTGCATAAAAAAGTTTTATAAAATGTCATGTTTTTCCATTTTTTCAATTTCATATTAGGATCATAATAATTTCTTGGCATTCAGTTACTAAACATCTTTATTTGGGCAGAGAATCAGTCACGCTCAAAATGTATACTGCTTTGGAGTGAAGCATTAAATATGTATGGGGGTTAAGATTTATTTATTGATTCATGACCAGGGTTCAGTGTAGGGAAAGTTTCTCTATACACTCTGTTAAAGGCATTTGTTAAGTCTATCAGTATGTGAAAAAAAAAAAATCATATTTAGTTTTTGTTTAATCTTTAAAACAGGAAAAATAATGCCTTCTTTGTTTATGCCACAGGGTGTTAAAGGGCTAAAATGAAGTGGATTAAGTAGATATAAAAACTTTATAAAAATAAGGAACTATACATATTTAAATATTTTAATTTGTTCTTACATGTGAAAGGTTTGTCTACAAATATCCTGTCAAAGTATAAGAAATTTAAGAGTCTTACGTTAAGTCTTTCAAGGACTTAATTATAACTTTACTTGTAAGGAGAAGTTAAAACGAGCATTGTTTTTTTTTTTTTTTTTTTTTTTTTTGAGTTGGAGTCTCACTCCGTCGCCCAGACTGGAGTGCAGTGGCCGCTCCCGGCCACCGCAGCCTCAACCTGCTGGGCTCCGGCGATTCTTCCGCCTAAGCCTTCCGAGTAGCCGGAATTACAGGTGTGCGCTACCACGCTCAGCTGATTTTTTGATTTATTGTAGAGATGAGGTCTCGCCTTCCCAGGCGGGTCTCGAACCCACGGGCTCAGGCAATTCACTCACCTCAGCCTCCCATAGGCACGGGATTACAGGCTGAGCCACCGAGCCCAGCTAAAACGAGCATTGTTAACACTTTTGATATGAACATGTGTTGTTCCTTGTGGCAGTGTACCTGGTTTCAGGTAGACCATTCCGTATCAGTAACCTTGTCTGACTGAAGAGGTTTGCCTGCTTCCTCTGTTGTTTATAAGTTGCTGCCATCTTCATGTGGGCATTTAATATTTGATAATTTAGTTAATTCTTTTGTAGTGTTACTCTTGTGTACATACATACAAGTTCAGAAAATATATAGCTATAATTAATATATATTGTTGTGTTATAAATGACCAATATTAATATTGCATAAATTTAGCAGAACAAAGCTTTAGAATGTTCATTTTGAAGTGACATTAGCAGTGAGTATTAATGGTGGGTAAGGAATGAACAGAGACTAGAATTAATGCCTTTAATCCTTTTCCAGATAATAAGTTATTTCAGTGTAACTGAATTGCCTTTCTTTTAAAGCATTTGAATTGTAAAAGAAATCAAACCAAGATTATACAATTTCTTTCTTCTTCATTGGCTAAGGCCAAGTTAGTAGTACTTAGGGGAGGAAGAATTTATAAAATTAGTTCACTGTAGAATATAATTTTGATATTTTCCTGCTGGTGTAGCATCTTTTACTTTAAAAGTTATTTTTATTTTTATTTTTAAAGTTGGCTTCAGCTGTTCTGGAGGCTGTGGAAAACAATACTCTCAGCATTGAACCGGTGGGATTACAACCTATCCGATTTGTGAAAGCTTCTGCAGTTGAATGTGGAGGACCAAAGTAGGTTTTCACAGCCATGGCTTATGAAAGTGACCGAGTTTTTGAAATTGTATGTGTTGCAGTTATTTAGTTTGTCTAGTTTTAAATGTGATTTAATTTCTCCTCAGATTTCTAGTCAGAGTCTATACAACACAAAGACAATCCCCAGATAATATGGGATATAGCATTTCAAATTTAGCATTAAAGGAGAGCCCTTTTATTACAAAAATACACATATATGACAGAGATCCAGGTGACTGGAGATTATAAATTTGTTTTCTTTTGTAACCTCGTTTCATGATCCATTAGTGGATCATGAAATCAGTTTAGTAGGTCATACACAGACTTTTTGTTTATTACACGTATATGCATAGCTGTGTATACTAAGTTTCTGTATAAACTATTTCTTTCTGAGGGTTGCCATAAAAGATAACTTGGGAAGATACTGAGTTAGACCAAGTCTTACCAAACATGAAAACAGGGCACCAAAAAGACATGATTAGTCCTTTCCTTTCATATTTTTATAAAGGATTCTCACTTGCATAAATAATCAGTTGTCTCTTTCATATGTGAGAAATATTTGGGAGTTATAAATCTTCAGAGGCAAGGTTCCCACATTTCATAGCAGGGCAGGCTTTTTCCAACCAGCCCTATGAATAGGAAAGACTGAAACCATTTATACTTAAATCATCTGGTAAAGGTAAACGTTTTGCCTAAAACCAAGGCACAATTGTATCTTGTTTTTATAAAATGGCCTGGACGCTTTTAAGGCAGCTACTTTTATTTTTGTTTTTATTTTAATTTTTTTAGAGACAAGGTTTGACTCTGTCTCCCAGCTTGGGTATGGTGTCATGATCTTGGCTCACTGTAACGTTGACTCAAGCAATCCTCCCACTTCAGCCTCTTGAGTAACTGGGACTATAGGCATGTACCACCGCACCCAACTAGTTTTTAAAATTTTTAATTTTGTAGAGACATGGTCTTGTTGTGTTGTCCAGGGTAGTCTCAAACTCCTGGCCTCAAGCAGTCCTCTTGCCTTGGCTTCCCAAAGTGTTGGGATTACAGCCGTGAGCCACCATGCCTGGTGGAAACTGCTCATTAAGTGTTTAAGAACCAGATCAATATGGGAGACTGGCAAGCTTAAGAGAGCTCATCGAAAGCATAATTGACTCATGTCAGGGTTATTTTGAAGCCAGAAGAGGAAAAGACTGGTTGAGATTAACTAATAGGTCTGTGTGAAAGCCTGTTGTAGGAGTTGTGTGGTTCTTCCTGTTTCTGATTATGGACGTCATATTCTTAGTGAGCTTATAGAATGTTGGTATTGGTGACTGTTTGTGGAGGGTACCTAGTCATATATATGCTCTGTGAGCTCATCTCACTCTCCCATGGTACACATGCAGCACAGTAGCCTCTGATTTTTAGGGGAAAAGTTTACATTCTTAAATTCTACAAACACCCAAATATTTTTGCCCTGATCCTTCAGCACAAAAAATGGCGAATTAAATTTAATGATAGCATTTCTTGTACTTTTACGGTCTACGTCATACCTTATTATATATATGGCATATGACAGTTTTTATTATAGAATTAAAAATGTGTTGTATTTATTATATATCACATATAGTTTATATGTGCAAATATCAAATGATGACACATGGGAATATCAGCTAACATGGATTTGTAACATTTTAGTAAAATAATTATGTAGTTTAGGTTTAGAGAACACTTTGCATAGTTTAAGGATATTGTGCTTGTGGGAGTGGGTCCAGAAGCCAGGGCATTTGTGGTGCATATTGTATGGAAAAAATTGAAAGAAGATATTGTTATGTTTTATAAAATGTGAAGTCTGGCCCTGGCCAAGGCTTTTGGGAACTAGGTTATGAAGATAACTAAATGAATGACACAGAGCTGTAGGAATTTTGAGGAAGACCAGATTGTTCCACTTGTGATCTGAAACTCTTCTTGGAAGGAGGGAGATTTCTGGGGTTTTGAAGTTTGGGTGGAATTTGGATAAAGAACAGTATGTATGAGTGAAGGCCTAAAAACAAGAAAGCAAAGTATGTTCAGAGGTTGGTGAGTATATGGAGAAAAGAGATATGACAGATCTTAAGGAAAAAAATTCAACTGGGTAGGGGTGGGTAACAGAGAAAGGAGTTAGAGATATTTGACTGGAAGAATGATTTGAAATGATTTTGGAAATTAATAGGAAAGGCTGTGGTTTGGGGAAGAAGTTTATAGGACTAGATTTAGACATGTTGACATCCCCAGAAAATGGGAGTAAGAATTTGAAATCTTGGGCCTAGAGCCATAAAGAGATATTAAGGAGTATAGTATGTTTAAAAAAAAATTGGAGTTGGATGTCAGAAGTCTTATTAGCATTGAATCCTGGCTCAGATAAAAAGTGTATTAGATGTGATCAGTTTAAAATATGGCTTTAGAAATGAGATCATTTAAAAAACACATTTTAAATTATTTTAAAAGTTAATACTTAAAACCGCTTTAGCAGGACCCTTTCAAAATTAGACAAAATAATGGACAAACAGGTGTATGCCTGTTTCCAGAAGAATAACATGTATTTTTAAAATCAATTTGATGCTATTTTTTCTTCTTGTATAAATTACGCTTTTGGAAGTTCTAAGGACTTTCAATTTCTTGTTCTTCTGTCTTCACCAAGCTAGTAGTTAGTGCTTTCAAATATTGTTACAGATTATTAAAGTAATTTGCTAATAAAGAAGCAATGAGGGGAAAAAAATCTCTTTGAAAAGATAAGAATTGGTTTGTGATTTGAATAACCACCTCCAAAATTATCCTGTTTCATATCACATTGTTGTGTGTTTCCATAATGTGGAAGCACATTTGTCTCATATTTAAGTGTTGCTGAAATGTAATGTTCATTTAATGTATTTATTATGTAATTTACCATGTCATATAAAATGCTGTTGGCCATTGTGTTTTACTTAGAGCTGTGCTAATTTTGCATTGATGGGAGTTGGTAGTAGTATTTAGCCAAGTCCCTAGCTGAAGAGAGTGAGGTGGGCTGCTGCAGGTCCAGCCGGATTGACAAGCCAGTTTCGTGTCAGGGAGCGGTAGAGTGACAGGTGGATCATCACTTATTCAGTAGTCATTGAATGTCTGCTTTGTGCCAGGCACATGCTTGGTGCCAGGCATTTAAAAATGAATGATGCAGTTCCTACCCTCAAGGGGCTTACAGACTAATCCCACCTAGAAAGCCCTCATAAGAAATTTTAGCTTTTTATGAGACATAGTTACTTCTTATACAGTTGCTAAGATTTAGTATTTTTGTAAGGGTGGCTTATTCCTTTGTACTTCTCCATGGGTCCCACATTAAATGCATATATAGCAATCAACTAACCAAACAAAAAAAGTACCCCATCTGGAAGATGTTACCCTGCAAGCTATCAGTGACAAGCTTTGAGACTTGGCCAGTCATCGTTAGGTTATTTTCAACTGAGAAGGTGAAGTCCTGATGGAAAACTGAGAACTGTTCTACATCTAGTTACTCATTTGTACATTTGTTTCAGGATAGGACGTATCTGGAAAACACTGAGTTTCTGTTTCCATGAAATCATGATTAATGTGCAGTATTAAACTTATACTAGAATATAAGTCTCACAAGGGCAGGAACCTTGTCCTTTTCATCACTGTGGCTCAGCACTTAGAAAGGGCCTGGGACATAGTAGGTTCTTAAATATCTTACTGATGACTAGACAACTTGTGCAGAAGGTAGGGGCAAGGGCTTTTAATTTTAAACTAAAATTTATCATTATTTCACAGAAAATGTGCTCTCACTGGCCAGAGTAAGTCCTGTAAACACAGAATTAAATTAGGGGACTCAAGCAACTATTACTATATTTCTCCTTTTTGCAGATACAGGGTAAGTGACTTAATTATGAATTTTAGTAAAGCTTGCTTTGTATATAAGACATCTATTCATGCCATTTTCCCCTTTTGGCCTAGATCACTTCTGTATGTAACTTTTTTACATACATTCGATATATTCAGCAGGGACTTGTGAAACAACAGGATGGTAAGTGTTCTTGATTCTTTGTAAATATCTTTGTAAATATCTTTATTATTATGTCACAATATTTATTTATTACCTAAAAGTTCAGCAAAAAGTATAGGACATAGTAGAAATGCTCAGATAAACTTTATTGTTGGTACACTTATATTGAATCCTTTTTATAGTTCTGACAAAAAGGAGAATTTGGAAACAGTTTTTTTTTTTTTTGAGTTGGAGTCTCACTCTGTCGCCCAGACTGGCGTGCAGTGGCCGCTCCCAGCCACCACAACCTCGCCTGCTGGGCTCCGGCGATCCTTCCGCCTCAGCCTTCCGAGTAGCCGGAATTACAGGCATGTGCTACCACGTCCGGCTGATTTTTTGATTTATTGTAGAGATGAGGTCTCGCTGCCCAGGTGGGTCTTGAACCCGCGGGCTCAGGCAATCCACTTACCTCAGCCTCCCAAAGGCGCAGGATTACAGGCTGAGCCACCGAGCCCGGCTGGAAACAGTGTCTTTTTACAAAATATATTTAATCCTTTTATTTGCCTCATTTTAGTCCTAATTTGAATTTTAAACAGGACCAGTTTTGACTTCTGAGGGGTATATGATAGGGGTAAATGTGAGAAGAGTTTAAAGCTCGTCGAATTTACTCCTTAAGAAATGAAATGAACAAACCTTAGAAGTGGTCAGATTTATTTTAATTAATGGGAACCATGATGGAGCTAACAATAGTTTTTCCTGTATTTTTTACTTTCATCTGTGAATTAATAAAACAGTCATGAGGATAATTCTAAATGGAATAAAGATTGCCATATTCTAAATCAGCAGAAATGTACAGATGATATATCCAGGAGAGCCAACCTCATGCAAGTGTGTTAATATTTTATTTTATTTTTTCAATTTTTTTTTCAATTTTTAAAATTTCAGTAGCTTGGGGGGTACAAATAGCTTTACTAATGTGTGTTAATACTTTAAATACAGTTTTATATGATTTTATAGCTGAATTTCTTAAATATCAGACATAAACATTAATATGGCATGATAGTTCCAAAGCATTATCTCTTAAGTACATATGATTGTTTTAAAACAGAAATAGCAGATATTGGGCTAGGGACAAGTCTATACTAGTTTGTATTTGAAGTTGTAGAAAATTTCTCTGTTTATATTTTTTTAGGCACTGAAAATATTCTCATGCTTGAAACCTAGTAGAAGCTTACTGTCTTTCAGTCTAAATCTGTGAATCTTAAATCTATGGAAAAATTAGTCATGCTGATAAAAACTTAGTTTAGCCTTTCTCAAGCTCTGGTGTATTGGAAAAAGTCTTACTTATTTAGATTCTTATATAATTGGATTTTAATGCCTAAAAGAATAGGGATGAAACCTGTTTTTAATTAATGTTGAAATAATATTGAAGCTTGGTGACACGTAAAAGTAGCCCTGAAATTGTATATTACTTTTTGTAACTTTAATAAAATTGAAACCCTTTTGGATAACTGTCGGTGGATAATATATTTAAACTGAAGAACAGATGATTTATGTTAAGGTGAATTGTCAAACATATTTTCTCCTTGTTGAAATAAAAAGTTTGTAGGGAGGGCTGAAAGATAATTTACTTTATGAAAATTAGAAGAAAGTGTTATGAGTGATGGTGATAAAAGTGGTATCTTGTTTCTGTCACTATTTTACTTCATGGTGTTCAGTACACATCATATATTGTGTGAGTTTGTAGTAAATGGGTATTAATGTTAAAATCTGTTTATTATATGTGTCTTGTACCAAAAAAGGATTTAGGGCAGCTAAATATAAAGCAAGATTTCTTGACCCTGGGTTGGTTGTCATTTTGAGTTGGGTAATTCTTTGTTGCAGAGGGCTGTCTTGTGCATTGTAGGATGTTTAATGGCATCCCTGGCCTTTACTCATTAGATGGCGATGGCAACCCCCACATGTGATGATGAGAAATGTATCTAGACATTACCAAATGTTTCTCTGGGGGCAAAATTCTCTCCTGGTTGAGAACCACCGATTTAAATGAATACAATCTGATCACATATCAAATGCAGATCTGTTGTTGTCTGAAATATAGATTCAACTTTTTTCACCTGGAGTGGGTGCTTACAACAACATAACTGAAATATTTTTTTTTTTTTTTTTTTTGAGCCGGGATCTCACTCTGCTGCTCAGGCAAGAGTATTGTGGCACGATCACAACTCACCACAGCCTTGACTTCTGGGTTCAGGCAATCCTCCCACCTTAGCCTTCTGAGTAGCTGGAACTACAGGCGTGTGCTATTATGCCTGACTTATTTTTTTATTTTTTGTAGAGATGAGGTCTCGCTTTGTTGCCTAGACTGGTCTCGACTTGTGGCCTTCCAGAGTGCTGGATTACAGGTGTGAGCCACCGTGTCTGGCCAAGATAATTGAAATTTGCAGATTGTCCTCTGTATTTATTTTTATTTTTAATTTGAGCCATACACAAAACCTGTTATTACAGTGTTACTGAGTTTTCTGGATTGTCTCTTGCTTTCCTTTTTTCCTGTTCATTCTCTGTTAGTGTTAATGAAAAATAAAATGGCCAAGATACAGTGAACTAGAGCAAGAAGGCTCATAAGTTAGACAATAACTCTTGAATAATCGAGCACTGAGTATTCTCATTTATGAAGGCAAGGACATTGCCATCTACTCAGGACATTGAAATGTCTACCTTTTCTTGGGTTAAAATGATAGTCTGTATTTAACAAATAGTTGTGACAAAACTGGTGAATTGCTTATTTGTTAATAAAACTGAGATGCTCATAGGTGCATGGAAAAGTTTGTGTGAATTATTGAAAACATATCTAGGCATTAGGCACATCATTAGGAAATGCACAATTGGCATTTCAGCTAATCTTTAATTTTCAGCAGAACATTAAAAATAATGGAGATGGCATTCTATGATTTAAATGTCTTTCTTTTCTGTTTGTATAGTTGATCAGATGTTTTGGGAAGTTATGCAGTTGAGAAAAGAGATGTCATTGGCAAAGCTGGGATATTTCAAAGAGGAACTCTAATTCTCTGCGTGGGACCATGCATGAACTTCCCTAAATAACTGAAAAGTGGTTGAATATTTTTATGGTTACATGAAATTTATCTCCAAGGAGTGGGCCCAAGACTTTTTCCCCCTTTTGCAAATTGCTCTGAGAAGACCGTGATTTCTTTTAAACTGACCTATGCTGTGTTTGCTTATTTTTTAGTTGAACACACAATAAAGGATTACAGGTGTACTAGTGATTGTAATTTATAGTTGCAGGAAAAAACCCTAATAAAGAAATGTTAAGTTGATTGTGTGTATGATTTCTCTTCTAGATCTGACATGGCATTTAGGTTTAGCAGAATGTATTAAACAGTAACTTTCAAATTGCACAACAGCTTCCTTTTGTAAGGCAAGGACGAAGACTGAGTGGACAGCACTCGCCTTTGCAGGCCCCCACCATTAGAATGGCTCTATTTTTGTCTGTTTTATATATTGGACTTCAAAAAAGACTTTATTTGAAGAAACACTTCTGCTGCTAAAAAGTTTGAAAGTTACTGTTTCAATTGTTTTGCTCTCTGTAATTTAAAGAACCACTTCATTATGATGATTCATTACATATGGTAGCGGGCAAGCACATTTTATCCCAGAGATGTATTCTTGAGCATCTTAATGTAATATATTCATTTTTTTAATTTTAAAGATGCGGGGTACACTTCAGGATCATATATTTTATATGTTGAACATTATAATGGCACTGGAGGGACATGAAGATAAATACGTTTGTATGTCAAGGAGGTTTGGAAGATGTGGGTTGAAAGAATGGTACCTGCAAAGTATATACGATTGTGGAACCACTTGGTTGGCAAGTTGCAAATTGTAAAACTGACTCAGTTGGAGAAACTGTTCATTAGAAGTATTTACAAAGGCAAAGAGGGTTGTGGTGGAAATATAGTAAGTATAGAAAAGCACATGAATGAGAAACCACTTCAGTCTCTCCCTCGAGAGAGCCACTGTCAATATTTTTGGAGACTAGCTTTTCAACTCTCAGATATTTTCTACCCATATATATGTATGTTTCTGAAACAAAAAATAGACTTTCTTGCTTTTGTAAAACTTAAATATTTTTCTCTGTCAGTAAATCTATGCATCTTAATCACTATATGTGATTACAGAATTTTAAATGATGTAACTAATTGTGTTTGGAGGTTAGGCTAGTTTCAATTTATTTTTCATATTGTAATACTGCAATGAGTGTCTTTATGTATACTTTTTTTTAATGTTGTTGGGTTATTTTTTAAATGAAGATGCCTACAGGTAAAATTGTTGCGTCAGTTATATACATATTTTAAAATGTTTTATCTGCATTGCTAGATTGTCCTCCAGAAAAAAGTTGAATTAACTTATATTCACAGCTGCAGTGTATGAAAGAGCTGATTTTCTGAAGGTGACTTTTTTTTGGTTGTGTTCAGAGTTTTGAAGAAGACTCAGCCACAAGCCTGGATGGGAACCTACAGACAAAAGGACTTTGAGTATGGTATGGTAAAAACCACCATTACCATGCCCAACTCAAGAATCTGGAATTGAACATGAAAAAAAAAAAAAGCATTGAACATAGAATTTCATGTCCTGATAAACAGTTATTCCAATATGAGGGCATAATAAAAATTTTCCATTCAAGGCTGCAGAAGATTTTCCACACAAAGACACAAATTAAAACCACTTTTGCAGAAAGTACTTAAATAAAAAGAAAAACAAATGCAGGAAATGCTACAAAAGAAGGATGATCAAATACTTAGGAAAAGTTTGTTGGTGACTTAAAAAGATAAGTAAGACTAAAGTATATCCATAATAACCCAGAATTTAAATTCTTTAAAACATCAGAAAATGGGAGTGGGCAGAGACCAAAGTGCATGAAGATATATCAAAGTTCTTGTCTTGCTAGAAAAAAGAGATACCAGTTAAAAGTGAGGCCAAAAAAAAAGAAAAAACAATGTGACAGAAATAAAAAGTTAAAATGGTGTATGATGATTTGGTAAGCTTACCAGTTTATTTCATGAAGCTAAGCAAACTGGATTAAAATATATGATGTTTATACACAAAGCATAAATTCATGGAAAGTTTGTAAATAAAAAGGACAAAAGATATCAGGAAAATATCAGAAGAAAACTGGTGTGGTTTTACCATTATTAGACAAAATAGACATTAAAACGAAAGACATTATTAGGGATAGAGATGGGTACTACATAATGCTAAAAATTGGATTCACTAAGAAGAATAAAAATGGAAATAATAAGCCGGGCTCGGTGGCTCAGCCTGTAATCCCGTGTCTTTGGGAGGCTGAGGTGAGTGGATTGCCTGAGCCCGTGGGTTCGAGACCCGCCTGGGCAGCGAGACCTCATCTCTACAATAAAAAAAAAAAAAAAAAAAAATCAGCCAGGCATGATAGCGCATGCCTGTAATCCCCGCTACTCAGAAGGCAGAGGAGGAAGGATCGCCGGAGCCCAGCAGGTCGAGGCTGCGGTGGCCGGACACGGCCACTGCACTCCAGCCTGGGCGACAGAGTGAGACTCCAACAACAACAAAATGGAAATAATAGAAGTAATTAAAAAAATTCTGAATAATATTAATGCCGAGAAAGTTATGCCTCAAGGGAAATTTTATAGTTTTAAATCCTTATTTATATATATATTTTAAAAAAGCCAAGTGACCCAGGGCTGCAACATTAGTATATTAGGAAACCTATAAATCTCATTTACCACATTCATTTGCTGACTAAAAATGAAAAAATCATCAGTAGATGCATAACAAACATTTGATGAAATTAGTACCCATTAACAACTCTTTGTAGTCTTTAAGTGGAAGAATATTTTTCACCCTGATACATTAAAAGCATGCTCTTTAAAATCAGTGAGACAGGATGATCACTATCTTCACTTTATCACTGTAATAGAAGAGTTAACTAGTGCAGTAAGATGAGAAAAGTAAAAGTATAATGATTGGAAAGAACATATTAAAACTTTGCAGATGATGTGATTGTCTACGTAGAATATACAAAAAAAGTCTTCCATCAAATTTTCAGACATTGGAGAGTGTAGTAAGGTGGCTAAATATAGGATCAGTATATAATTGTTAGTTGTATACATCATTGTAAATACATCAGCCATAAATAACTAAAAAATAGAATTTTTAAAAATGACAAATAATTGTAAAAAAATTGTAAAGTACCTAGTATTAAAATCATCTAATCAAATGTGTGTAAGACTTGTGTATGGAGTTATAAAACTTTACTAAAAGACATTAAAAAGGATTAGAAAGATCCTAGTTTCATGACAAAAGATAATGTTAAAAGGTCATTGCTTCTTTCCAAAATGATCTCTATGTAGATTTAGTGCATCTCCAGAGTAAATCTCCACATTTTTCCAGGAATTGACAAAATGATTAGAACTGGATGTGGCAGAGTAAAGGATGAAGAGTGACAAGACGCTTATGAAGAAAAAGAAAGGAGCAGGAACTTATCCAACCAGAAGGTCTTTTTCTGAAGCTGAAGTAGTAAGAGAATATTAGGTGTTCCTGGCATTCATGCAGAAGTAGACAGGATGGTTTGTCAAACGGAATAGAGAGCTCCAAAGCATAGCCAAAAAACGTGTGTACTTTTCATATTGACAGGAGTTATGGTAGATCAGTGGTAGAAATAACTTTATTAAATGGGGCCACCAAGAAGAGAAAGGAGAAAAGAAAACTGGATCTCTTCCTAACATTATACGCAAAACCCCCGTTTGAAATGTTCTTAAACTTTATACGTAGAAAATACAGGTGGACTATATTTAGAAAATAGAGATGGATATCTTCCTGATTGTGTTTTAAGAACTTAATCTAGAAGCGGAAAGAAACTATGAAAGGTAGCTAACTATAGAAGAAAATAAGTTGTGCTAGATTATAAATTCTCAGTTTAGAACTTCAGTCTATCAAGACATATTAAAGCAAAACTACAAGCTGGGCGTGGGGGCATGCATCTGTAGTCCTAGCCAGAGAGGCTGAAACAGGAGGATCAATTGAGCCCGGGTATTCAAGTCCAGCCTGGGCAACATAGATCCCCTCTTTAAAAATAAAAGAAAGTTGGTTGGGCTCCGTGGCTCAGCCGTAATCCCAGCACTTTGGAAGACTGAAGTGGGTGGATTGCCTGAGCCAGCAGGTTCAAGACCAGCGCAGACAACTTGGCGAGACCTAGTCTCTACAATAAATAAAAAAAATTAGCCGGACATGGTAGCATGCACCTATAGTCCCAGCTACTTGGAAGGCTGAGGCAGAAGTATCGCTGGCACCCAGCAGGTCGACCCTGGGGTGGCCGTGAGTGTACCACTGCACTCCAGCTCGGACAACGGGGTGAGACTCCAACTCAATAAATTAAAAATAAGAATAAAAGCCAAACTACAAGCTATGAGAAGATAACTTGCAACATTTCTAACCAATAACAGATGAATATCAAGAACGTATACAGAAATAAAAATTCAAACTAACAAGAACAGATTATGTCACAGAAAAATGAGCAAAAAAGTCTTCTATAAAAGGGGCCAATAAACTTAAGAGGTTTTCATCTCTGTTAATAATCGGGAAAATGTAAGTCAAGACTACAAGAACATGTTTAAATTCAATTAGCAAAAGTTAAGAAATCCTACAAAATCAAATTTTGGAGAGGATTTCAGTTCGTAAGATCACTCGCATATTGCTGATGGGAGTGTCGTCTGGTGTATTCACTGTGAAAAACCATTTACTTGAAAAGTTGAACATTTGTATGCCCATGGCCCAGAAATTCCACTTTTAAGTATATATTTGAGAAACACTTGCACAAAGTTTCCCAGAACACACATAGAACGTTCTGGAATAAATTCAAGTGTCATCTATAGGATGGTGTACTGTGTGTTCACAGGATGGACGGATATATGGTAGCAAAATGAATGAATACCAGCTGCATGCAGCAGAATAACAGATGGGTGAAAAAGTATTAATTCAGAAAACTGCATATGATGTAACACTTTTTTCGTATAGGTCAAAAAGTACTCCAACCGAACAGCTGTTTAGGCATGCATATAAATGTGACAAAACTATTTTTAAAAAACACAAAGTAGTAATGAGCATTCAATTCAAGGTAGTGGTTACCTCTGTGTGTAGGAGAGGTAGGGAGGAGCAAATAAATATAAGCCGGGCTCGGTGGCTTAGCCTGTAATCCTGCGCCTTTGGGAGGCTGAGGTGAGTGGATTGCCTGAGCCCATGGGTTCGAGACCAGCCTGGGCAACTTGGCGAGACCTCATCT